CTCAGTGTGTGTGTGTGTGTGTGTGTGTGTGTGTGTGTGTGTGTGTGTGTGTGTGTGTGTGTGAGTGAGTGAGTGAGTGTGAGAGAGAGGGAGAAACATCGGCTAGATGGGATGCTTCTCTTGGCAAGTTTTGCAGAGAAAAGCGTTTGCTGAGAAAGGCATTTAGGGCATTTAAATATCTTCCTCCTCCTCTTTTTGTCCCAGAGCCCAGAACATGTTCCGCCAGGCCATGCGCTCCCCACTCATCACGTTCCACGTGGTGCCGACGTCGATGAAGTCCCACTACGAGCAGCTGTCCCACGTCGAGAGGAACCCGGCGTACACCTCGGGCCGCTTCAGCCCCAACTCCCTGACCGGCAGCACGGTCTCCGGCGCGGACCACGCACCGCACAGGATGTCCCGGCACGGCTCCCAACCTCACCCGCACTCGCATCCCCACCCTCTGTCCCACGCTCACCCGGACCACACTGAGGGCTACACTCCTCTGCCTCACCCGGTGGTCTCCGCAGCAAAGCCGCCGACGGGGCACACCCCCTCGCCTCAGAGGGGGGCGAACGCCACGCCTGCGGGAGGATACAGCAAAAAAGTCGGGAGGAGGCTCAACATCCAGCTAAAGAAAGGTGAGCTGAAGAGAAGTGGGACTACTTTATCACCCAGAGATGCTGCGATGCTCAGGTCACGTTTCAATAGAACGATGCAGTTGATGGAGTCGTGTTTTTTGTCACAGACAGAGATTATATAGAATAGTTAAATGTTTGAGAAGACACACTGGGTATGGCTAGTTATGAAAGACCCCCAATTATTTTAGGATGGTAGTTTTTACATCATTCGGTTTTTAAGATCTCCTCTGAATCTTTCCAGACAATCTCCCATCAGGCTCTAAAAACAAAGAGGGATGCTGTTTATGTTCCTGGCGTTCCCATTCCAACTGAATAAACCATCAACTCCCTCATCTCTAACGCATCACAAACAAGTGCAGGGGGGTCGTTTATTTAGAAATGGCGCGGACATAGAAGCGTGCAGAATGTGAACACTGATGCAACAGGCTTAAAAACAAGTGCAGGGTTTAGCATACTGATGTGGTGGAGATACAAAAGGGAGTAAAACTTTTGGGGACATCTCCTGAGCGCAGCACTTTGACTGACAGCTGGCGCAGGTGGCGCAGACCTCCGCCAACAGGATACCAGGTGTCGGTGCCAGGTCTCGGGGGGCCAGAGAGCTCGTTGCTAAGCAGCCGCCGGTGCCCGTGTGCTGTCAAATGCCACGGCACGGCAGTCTGACGGGGGCCGCGCCATATGCCCCGTTGAAGTTCTTGCCCAAATCTGTTCCCTTCCTTTCTCTCGGAGGCTGAGAATCCAGCCATGAACATAAAGCATAGAAACAACCAGCTGGTTGTTGCATATTCACACCCGGCTGAAAGCTATTTCCACTCTCTGCTTGGTCATAATACAATAATTAATAATAAAAAACAAACCATTCTGTGCACGATGTGGCAGGAGATCTGTTCTCAGTCAAAGATGCTATCTTCTCTCATTCCACCTTTTGTTTGCCGTTGTCGGAGCAGACATTTTCGGGGATTAACGGCGACTCCCGAGAGGCCGCTCGGCTCGTCCGTGTTGTTTTTTCGAGTACCGACTGAAGCCCACAGCTTTGACCGCAGATTAAACTCCCGCAGTTGTTTATGCGCTCCGGATCAGACGCCGGTCTCGTCGCAAATCCCGGGGAATATCGGAATCAATCAAAGCATCCCCATCCTGCACAGGAAATTGCTTAGGTATGTCTTAATCAAGCTAATGAGAGTTCTAAAGATCCCTCCTCCCTGTTTAAAGCCGGGAGCACCACAGGCTTTAACCGGCGACCACGGTGCCGCACCTCGTCTGGCTGCGGGAAGTTGATTGGCTCATCAATGCAGGGGATTAGGGAGAGGATGTGAAACGGAATAGCTAAGCGTTCTGCTGCTCTTTGCATGAGCTCAGTCAGGATTAGGGCCAGTGTACTCCAATACAGCAAGGATGCTCATTATTGTTCTCATATTGACTTTGTTTTGAAATCGTACACGCAAGGTCATTTGGAACAGTTTCCCAACGAAGCTCCTTTAAGCACATACATGAAGTGCCCTGATCAGTGCTTGGGGAGAAGGATGGACTTGAGTGTGTTGATCTTGAGCATGTTGACAGAGGTGGACGTGCTGGAATAAAACACAGACTCTGGACAGTCATTTGTTCTCGCCACAGGTTGTTTTTCTAGTTTCTGGCTTCAATTAAATATCAGGCAAAAGTATTAAAAGTCTTCAGGCTGAACTTACTTACTGGCAGCGTGTTATTGCATTATTACACAGTCCAACTTCTTACTTTAAAAGCATTCAGTTGGGTTGCCTCACAATAAATCCTACTTTAATTATTTACGGTAAATCTACTTGCAGCTCTCCGCTGACAGGACGCAGTTTCTCTTCATTTCCTGGATTTATATTTAACTTGCTTAATATTAGGAAGTCTGTTTGTGTTGTTGATGCTATGAGATACAGGCGTGTGTTTTCTAATGGTTCATCATGATACGCTCTTAAGGGGCTGCAAGCAAAACTCACAAATGTACACAAACAAAATCACATCCGCCCACACGAGCACAGACAACGAGACCGTCTGAAGATACCGTGCACTGTAAGTACCAGGTCACACCAGAAACTAGGTGGGACTGAACACTTGGTCGGTCAACTTTCGTCGTTATGTCCAATAGCCCAGCCCTACTTTGTAACCACTCATAGGAGCTTCAGCTCAAGATCAATCCAGATTCCCTCACTAGACCTCCTCACCTTTCTTCTCACCCCTCAGGTCCCGAGGGACTCGGCTTCAGCATAACGTCTCGGGACGTTCCCATCGGCGGCTCGGCACCCATCTACGTGAAGAACATTCTGCCTCGAGGAGCCGCCATCCAAGACGGCCGCCTCAAGGCAGGAGACAGGTTGCTGGAGGTGAGCAAGTGACATGTCGCGCTCATTTTCAGGTTCATACTTGTATTTTTGGTTTCTACTTGAACCTGTTTATATGCTTTAATGTTAAAAATGTTTAATGTTCGGAAACGCTCCGTTTTAGCGCCTGTCTCTTTAAGCCGAAAACAGCCCAGTCTGCTCTGAATGGCTTGCTCGGGAAATGTGTCACACCTTTGCGGAGGTATAGTTCTCCAGCCGTGGGTGAAGATAGGAGCCGTACATTTGAATGAGCCTGCATGTGACATAAGAAGGGCAGCTTTGAATCACGTGTTTCTAATCTAGGCATCCCACAAAAATGTGACTGGGTTGTCTTATTTCACATTTTGTGAATTCACTTAAAATCTTTTTTTTTTTCCCATATGTTCCATTCAAATCCAACAAACGGGTATTTTTGATGATTTTTGGTTGAGAAAAATGTCACTAACTCCTTCCTATATCTTATGTTTTGTAATTGAGCATCCTGGAATTAAATCAAAGAACATGTTTTTATACTCTTCATATCTTGTGCAGCAGGATGGAACAGCTTTTATCCCACCTTGCATAAAGGATTACTCTGATTACACGGAACGTTGAATCCTTTGATCCACAGGTTTATTTCTTTTTTCTCACTTTAGGCTTTTTTTCAAACTAGTGATGAAATGATGAGTTAATCACCGTATTGGACGAGAACTTTGTTAAAATGGAAGTGAGGATTTTCTGCTTGCAGCCTATTTGGAACTAAACCCAGCCGCTGTGTCTCCTGCTCAGGTGAATGCCGTGGACCTGAACGGGCGGACCCAGGAGGAGGTGGTGTCTCTGCTCAGGGCCACGCCCATGGGCGGGGCCGTGGGGCTGCTGGTCCTACGGCAGGAGGACACTTTCCTCCCCAGAGACGCGGTACGTTTGTCATTCTCCCCCCCGCCCTCAGAACATTCCTTCAACTCTTCGTCCCGTCAGCGTCATGCATTACTCATCACAACGTATACACCCCCCCATGCATGGATAAGTGTAGATTATGAGTGTGTGTACATGTGTGTGAGAATGCGTCTTGTTCTCTCCTGTGCTGTCATGGGTGTCGTTAATCCCCGCAGCGAGTGCCGTGTCGTCTTCTCATTTTCCCGGCTAACACAACACGCTAGCCGACCACGCAGATTGATCGTCCCGCTCCGCCACCGCCGCACTCCTCTCTTATTACCGAGCCATGGCCAGCCTCACAGGGAAACCTGTAGAGCTCAATCTCTCCTCTTTATCTCCATCACGCTCTCCTCTCCTCTCCCCTCACCCTCCCCCCTGTACCTGTCAGCCTCCCCTCTCCTTCCTCCCGCTTTGTCAAGTTACCTTCGCCCGTTTCTGCGTTTCCATTTCTCTCTCTCGCTGTGTTTTGCCTCTGGAGCCGACTCTCCAGATTGATGGATGTGGGGATGAACAGACAGACGCAGGGCAGGTAGAAGGCGGAGAGTGGGAAAAAAACACACAGGGCTTGAATATCAATCAGGTGAAATCCTTCACACATTACATCATGCAAACAGCAATACAAGTCTCCCAGTGCTGTTTCTTTGGGATGCTGCTTGCCGTCACTCAGTCTGGACAGATGCCTCTCACGGCCTTGCAACTTCTACAAACCGTTGCTAATACCGTTTCTACGTTTGCTGCAACTGTTTGCCGTCCTCGGGGTTGTTTTCACATGACGCCAGATGTTCCACTTAATCCTCTCCGCGGAAAACCAGGTTTGATTTACCGCCCATCTGGATGCTATTTCAAAGCTGTTTGATGAGGAAGTGAGCTCATAATGGCCGAGGCGAAAAACAAAGAACACTGAGGCCTAAGTGTGTTTTTTTTTTTTTTTTGTCGATGTTAGCAAGCTTTAAGTCACGTTGGTGTTTACTCCACAGCGGCGGTCAATGATCCTCTGCTATCTCTCTAGCCCCGCTGGCCGGCTTTAACACACGCCTTATCGAGTTAAAGCATGAGTTATGCCACCAGACAGCCTCGGCTCCCCCTCCCCTGGCGTCATAAACATGGTCTCTCCCAGCACCCTCAGCAGTCACCGGGGGCCATTAGGGGCACAAGCAGCCATTCACTTGCAAGTGCTGTCAATCAAACTGCTGATTGGTGGCAATTATCACAGCGAGGGATGCAGAGGAGGCTATTGGCTGTCTGTCGCCACGGGCGAAGTCAGATGAGAGGAGCTGCCACACTGGTCGATACTCATCTTCAGATTAGAGCGGGGCGTCCAGTCCAGCTGACTCTGCGTATAGTTGGTAGTTAGATGGTAGGATTTATTTGATGTGTGGTTATCAGCGGGGGGGGGGCTCGAGGGAGACGAGGTCCAGTGCACAAAATGAGCAGCTTCAGTCTTCATCCAAAGCCGCGAGCTGTAGGCTAAGCACTCTCAAGGGTTTTAGAGAAAAGGGCCGACAGAACAGCATGTCGGCTAGCAAAAATATAGCAGTAACAGACTTTATGCAACAATAAAAACACAAGCTAGATGACTAAGTGGAGCTCAATCAAAACAAGAGAGGGTCAAGAGAGCAGCACATTTCCTCGGCACACAAGTATGAATTAAAAATGGCAGTTACTAAGCTTTATATATTAAACATAATGCAGTGTAATGGAAATAATACAGTCGACAGCTGTCGTATTTGCAGCTCCCACATGCAGCAGGTGTACAACAAGAGAGCTCCTGAATTCACTCGTGTTTGTGATCTTTGAGCTACGGGACAAGCTGGATAACACATAATGATGGAAATACTTGTTAGGTATTCCACATTAATGTCAGTCCAACGTTATCATTGCAATGTAAATTGGTATTTCTATGCTAATATGCTATTATTCATGCACTGCACATTCATGCACACTTGATGTTTTTACTGCCTCATTTTTTTATTGACGTTCATTGTGAAGTGATTATACTTAAACACAGTCGGCAGTCAGAAAGATAAACATCTTGCAGAAGTATTTTTTGTTAACTCTGAGTAGAGCAGCCTGTTAAGAGACCAAAGTGCACATTTTTAACGATCACTTCTCACCAAATAAAATTGTGTTCAAAGCACAATTTATTAGTCAATAAATACTCCGAAGATCAGAGCGTGCAAAGAAAACGGTCCACGAAGCCCTTCCTGTTGCTTGTTAAGAGTTCGCCTAAGGTCTCGTTTATCTGGATGAACGGAGAGTTTCTTCTTGTCTGGATTGTGGCAGCTGGATGGTACGAGAGAATAACTCGCACTGAAACTGTCGGAGTGCGCGGAGGTTCAAAAATAGGACAGAATCCAATGCGGTCCTCAGCAGAAGATTGTGGCATTTTGTCCTCGCAAACACTTCAGTTGTTTCTGACCCACAGTTTATATTGTATTTCTCTGAGCGAACACTACCCGGCCATCACTACCCATCCTGATCATTTTCATATCTCGCGTCCACATTTCCTCGTCGCTCTGCTCCCGTTTGTCCATATCTTTGCCCTTCCACGGCCTTCTTGTGTTCTCTGATTATCTCTTTATTTGTCTGTAAATATCTCTGCTTGATTACCTGTGCTTCTTCTGTCCCGCCTCCACCCTCTAGAATGCTGAGCCCCAGATGCAAAGCCCCAGAGATGTGGTAAGACTCCGCCCCAACACCAGCCTGCAATTAAACACACACTTCCCCCCCCAAACCGCCTCCCCCGCTCCTTAACACCTCCTACTCCTTTATTTAGCCTGAACTCTCCTTTGCATGGTGTTATTAATCACAAGAAAAAAAACACAGAATGTTATCACCCGGTTGGGATAAAACAAAACAACAGCTTCTGCATGCATTCAGGGTCCACTAGTAAACCAGCTGGTTAATCAAAGTGCAAGTCACTAGCCATGCGGATAAATGTTAAGTCCGTAACACTAATTCCAATCTCCATCCAGAGTTGCTCTAACAAATCACAATTTCATGGTTCATCAGTGTGGACTGTTTCGGCTGCGCTGCAGAATAATTCGCTCCATCACTCCCCTCAGAGCTGTATTGGTTTGCTTTATTTGTCGGGCTGTGGATAAGGTTGTCAGTGTTGGCTGTCTTGCTGCAGACTCACTCTGATATGTGAGGTGAATAACAAACAGTCGGTTTAGTTTGTGTTCTGCTTTATTGAGGGGGCGAAATGTCAAGTCAGAGCCGACTGTGGCTCTCCCAGGGCCAGAGTGAGAGTTATTATACCCTATATAGTGGACTCCCACAATGCATCGTAACGTAGTGTACAACAGACCAAGCACTATATACCATCATGCAATGCGCTGAAGGGCACGCTAACTTGCACTAAAAGGCACTCCTGCCGGTCAGTAGAGAGAGCGCATCGGCTTCGCTCGGCAGAACCGGAGGATGCCGCCTGGTCACGACGCACCGCCACGGAGGAAATGTGCCTGGCGAGGGCCAATCAGCTCCGAGGGAGAGGTCCCAGGAGGGGATCCTCCCACACAGAGCGGTTGTCCCTGACCCGCCGTTTATGAAACTGTGGGGGGGCCATAATGAAACGTATAGGGAACACTGACTCAGACGAAATCGGCTCGCCAGTGTTTGCCTTCAGCTCTGATGTGTGTTCACAAGCTGTTTTGAATACCTTTCATCGGTAAAGGGAGACCAATAACATTGATTTATGAACAACTAAAAATGACGAAATGTGGAGATATGTCTCCGCCGGAGAGAGCCAATACATAGCCTTAAGTATCATATCCATAAATACCCAGGCACTGAATGCAAAGAAACATTCCTGATCTGTGGATTGTACCCTGCAGTGACAGCAGATTTAGTTGCATCTTTAAATCTACCTTCTGTGTAGAATCGGTACGTACACGTCTCCAACTGTTACAGTAGAGTCTCTCAAGGCCTCAACGCTACTCCTCACTCGCTACCCGTCTCATCACAGCAGCTGTTAAAAGCACATCTGTCTTCACTGCCGATGTTAAGAAGGCTATTCAGATTTCCATAACTCTCCATTTACACACCGAACTTAAGTTGTAATTTACAGACCGCGGCCTTCACGTCCTCACATCTGGCCAAGTGCAGGTAATTGGTTGCGTTTTTGCGCGGCGCGCTAGAAGCCTAATCGGCCGGTTAATTTGATTGGCGGTCGTAGCTGCCAGCTGTGTGAATGATCTTCACCGTCGAGGGACCTTATGGCACAACTGTCGGTTATTGCGACTGCAGCTGGCGCGCTTCTCATGCGCGCTCACGCTCAGACACGACGTCGTGTATCGTTCCCATCAGCCTCAAAGTGAGTAGAGAAAGACGCCTTCTGCTGTTCCACGGCTGCTTTGTTCGTGAGAGTTGGCAACACTGGGAAATGTCACATCACTGGTTGGCATCCACAAGCTACACAAGGTTTTTTAATCTTTTAAAGGAGCAGAAATCTCAGTTTTGTTTTTCACTTCCTGTTGTTTTGTTCTCAGCAACATAATGGATTGAATACATTGATGGATGAATACAAGTCGGAGAGTTCAGCTCTTTTTTGGGGATTATCTGCTAACTGCTGTTTCAGGAGCCCAGTTTGTGTTAAGTGCTGTCTCGTTCTGACAATTTTTCCTGGAACTGATGAAGGCAAATCTTCAGAATCACAATTACAGTAGATCGACACGCGTATATATTTATGTTGACACGCTGCCTAGTGCACCTTTAAGGCAAAGCAAAAGCAATTGCCCCGTTTTCCCTTGTTTTGGACGATAACCTCCCTAAAACCCAATCAACACCAGGGACGTAAGCCAGATAGATTGAGCAAACGCACCATCGACTGTGGCCCCCTCCCCCCCCCCTCCTCATTTTGTATCTTCTCACCTCCCTCCTTTCCTCCCTTTCTAACTCCAAACCTCCAGATGATCCTCTCTCTCCTCCTCACCCTTTCCCGGAACATCAACCGCCGTAATGGATTCAGCGCCTTTCAGATGTTATCTGTTGTCCGGCGCCTCATTTTAAACATCTCGCGGCCGCCGACAACAACAACGGCAACAGAGGCTGTGGTGCAAAGCTTTAGATGCAGGGTGTGCTGCTTTTAATGGATAAGCATCCCTTTTTAAGTGATCCAGATTTCCTGTAGATGATGAGGTCATCGGATGTTGAGAGGAAAATTGTGCAAAAGGTGATGCCTTACTTTTTTTTTTTTATTGAAAAGTGTTTTTTTTACAGTATTTATGATATTTAGAAGGAAAAAATATTGTAGATTAACCAAATAATGGCACAATGAAGAGTTAGTCATTTGAGTTCAGCAGCATTTGTGCCGAGACGTACTGATTCATAACAGGGCCACATAGTGTGCAATGCACACACTAAATATTGGTGCGTTCATGCCTCGTCGTACTGCTTGTAGAGCGTGTTACCTGTGTGCATACATCTAAAGATGCGTCCTCACAGGCAGCTTGCATAAAGGAAGTTGGTGTCAAGAGATTTCAGTCAAGGTTAGGTGCTGGGCTTAGTGGAGCCTCAGCGTATCTGATGATTCTCTCCTGTTATTCCTTCTATTCTCCAGCTCGTCGTACAGTTATGAAAAGGGCAATTAATAATATAGAACAGAACATATTTCACAGACAGCTTTTAGACCTGCAGGTTTGCAGAATTCATTTTTTTTTTTTTAGGCTGGCATGGCATGACTCATCCTGCGAGAGAGAGAGAGCTCTGTCGAGGGTTTCACGGCAGACGAAATGCAACAACTGAAGTGGAAAAAAAGCACTCACTTCTTCAAATTGGTCCAATCGGTCCAGAAGTGGCCCATTTTTTTATTTTTTTTTTGCATCAGTCAACCAGAGGCTGTCATTACTCCTGTGACACTATATCGGCTTCAAAACATTATATAAAAACTTCCTCTCCTTCCACATTTCTGTACAGCAAAGTCATTTGTGTTCCTTTCCACACCTCGGCCATCTTTAACCATGCATGTTGAGTCTTTGGCCCCTTCTATGAGTCGTCACATTCCTGCATTGACATGTTACGTGGTCTCTATCTAAGCGGCTCTTTGTGTCTAACTCTTTTTGCCTCTGACTGCTCCCTTCAGCATCCAAGGCAGCCCGTGACAGTGGTGAAGCCCCATTGGCTGATTGAGGTAACTGCCGCACGACATCACCAGCTTGGGTCATTACGCTGTATCGGGAGAAGGGCAATAAAAGGCAAATGGGATACATTGGGTGGCTTCACAAATAGACTGGGAGTCGCTTAACCTATTCATTGCTTTGCCAATGGTCTGTAGAAACCAACCACTTTGTTGGGTTGTTCTCCGCAGCCCGTATTCCCTCTCTCCTTGATTTTCATTGCATCTCTCTTGTTTTTGTCTGTGTTACCTCTTCCTCTTTCACTCCATTCTTCCTCTCTTTGTTGCACACACACGCGCACACACACACACACACACGCACACACACACACACACACACACACACACACACACACACACACTTCAGACACATTAAAGACGCAAATCCTCTCCCCTGCTCCTGGCTCTTACAATAGAGCACTGATCAAAGGCATCCGTCTTTACATGCCTGCCCTGATAGTTCCATAATGGGCCCATAACGTGAACATTCTCCTCCATTGTTTACGCCATTAGTCACGCAGGCTTATGGGGAAATTACGGCGACGCTATATTGAAAAGCCATCAGCGGCGGCGGCAGTAATGCTGCGGCGACGCCGTGCCAAGATGCTATCTATCACACGTTGCGCGTTTCCTCTCCTCTCTGCACACACAAAGCTGTTATGAAACGGCAATCTGTTAGCACGCTGGAGTGTAATGATGAAGGCTTTCTTGATGACATGATGCAGCGTTCGGCATAGCAGAGCATGTGTTGGCAGCTCGCGATGCAGCATGAATGTTATAGACCTCAACTGATGAAAGTAGTAGTGCAGAAGGATCTAAGGACAATAAATATGAGCATAACGATAAATGATTGGATCCTGCATAATCATTGCATAATAAGCATATTGTCTACCAATGTTTTTTCTATACCATATTTCGTTAAACATAAAGCCAAATTCTTTTTTTAAAAACGTGTTTTTGTCACTTTATTGCAACAGTAGTACATGAAAGATAACTCAAATGACCATCAACATATTTTAGTCTACTGTACAATGAAACGTTTGCTCCGCCCGGTGGGCAGGGCTTTGTTTTCAACATGGCGACCGGGGTCACAAACCTCCTAATTTCATAGCTAAACAGTTCACTGAAATACGTTTCTGAAAACATTTCAGGCGATGAAATAAGCAATGCAGTAACATACAGATTCATATTTGGTCAGCGCTGCCTCGTTTGACAGTTTGATCGGAGTTCACGGGCAGTGATTGACAGCTTTGTGAGAGACTCCTCGGGCTCTGATTGGTTGTTTCACCTTCGGGCGTGGTGGAGTCTTGCACATGGTAAAGTAGTTAGAATGACCGCCTCTACCAGATAAGAACTGCAAATCTGTTCATGCATCAACAATCGTAATCCAATACTAAGATAATAATGTGATGTCAGAAACGAGAACCTCTGTTTTTGACACTCGTGTACATACTGCTGATAGCATTTACTTACTTTTCACATGTAAATGTTAGACTTTTACTTCTAATTGGGTGCTCTTACCTTGTAGTATTGCCGCACAGGATCTGAACACATCTGAACACAACCCCAGGGAATCATTGCAGGAGTTGCATAACTTTTGGTATCATTATTAGCACAACAGGATAGCCGCGGTGATTAATGGCTGCAGCCCTGTGGCAGCAGGCTCGATACTTTCTCTGTGTGTTGTGTAGCGGCCTGTTGGTGGCACCTACGAGTCAATCATAGAGGGCCATTCTACCACGGAACACGCTCTCCGGCTTAATTAAAGTGATGTTTCAAGCTGCCACCTGGCCCATACACATACACACACACACACGCATTACAGCCACCCATACAGCACAATCCACTCACACACACACTCACAGGATACAATTACATAGACTACACTGAGGGCCTTTTTACACATTGCAAACTCACAAGCCATATGGCACACACTCGGATGACTTTGACTACACGTTAAGGTGTGCGCACGCTAGTGTGCGCGCACACACACACACGTGGAGCGACACGGAGCAGCTGCTGGTCTAATTGCTCGGGGTTGGATGAGGTTATAAATGGTTTCTAGTGGGTTGTGGAGCTCTAAAGAGCGAGCCACATAGTTGTGGTAGAGAGGCTGATTCGTTTGGGGACGGCTAGTGAGAAGCGGGAGTGTGTGTGTGTGTGTGTGTGTGTGTGTGTGTGTGTGAGAGAATCGATTCTTCCCCTTCACGCTATAGTCGTCACGTGTCAGCAGGTGTGTGTTGGGCACTCTAACAGGTGCGCGCTGGTACATGCACAATATATAAGGATGGCATTTGAGTGAGTGCACATGCTGTTCTGTGCGCTCGCACTGATACACTGCACCTATAGACACATACAGACCCGCCTTCTCTCTCCGTGACACACACACACACACACACACCTGCCTTGCTCTCCTCCTCCATGCTGTGCCACAGGTATTTGATATTCATGGTCTATCAGCATGGAGCTGCAGAGAGACACGCCGGAAAGAGTGAGAGAAAGGGGAGGGGAGGACAAGTGAGGGTGAGAAATCGGAGTTGTGAATTGAGGGGGAACGGAAAGAAGGGAGGACAGCAGAAAGGAGGAGGTAGAGAGGGGTGGGAAGAAGAGGGAGAGAGAGAGCATGAAGATCTGAAGCGTGTCCACATACTTTTGGTTATATTAGTGTCGATGGCAAAGGGAGGGAAGCATGAGGGGGGAGGGGGAGTGGTTAATGTGATGGTAGTAAGGGAGGAAAAGGGAGAGTCAGAGTGTGGATAAAAAGAGAGATCGTGCTACAGTAGGCAGCCAACAATGCTCTCCACGCCCGACTTCCCCTCGACCAATTACACCCTTCGCTGCCCCCCCCCCCTCGAGCGGCTCTTTCAGATGCCATCAAATCGACAGGTTTGTTTGGCCAAAGTTGAGCTCACCGCTGAGCACGTTAATCGCTTCAGGCACTGCAGGGGAGAGGAGTGAGCGTCGAGGGGGAGAAGAAGAACAAAGTGTAAATGAGGAGTGATTTTCATTTCACTTAATGCTCAAGATAGACTGGAGAAGAAGACGAGAGGACGAGTGGACGAGTCCTGAGGGTGCGAGGCAAATATTAGATGAGCGGGAGAGGTTTCAGAAGGAAGGAAGGAAGGAAGCAAACAAACAAGAGGGAGAGGTCAATGAAAGGGGAAGTGACAGAACGCAGTGGGTGGGAGAGCTGGACGCTGTAAATATGAGAACACAATGTGCATCCACACTAGTGTTTTGAAGGGTAGAATTATGTCTAAACACAGAGGCAAAACTGTGCGTTACAGCCAACATCTGGTCAGGAGAAGGGAAGTCAAGCCCAGATGCTTTGCTGAGTTTCAGCTTTCTGTTGTCGGGCAACTGAACAAGCAGAAAACGATCATTTGGCTTATAGATGCCACCTGTTACACAGACGAGCAGTACTATTTCCTATGATGCTGTGCGAGGACATCCTCCCGACGTCACTGAGCATGCTCAGGTCATCCAAAAGCTTTGTTTACATCGTCCACATTAAAACGCAAGGTTGTTATTTTCAGGGGGCACAAACACCAGCTCGGTGGCAAAAAACAAGAGAGAACACGTCGGCTACTCGAGCTGGTTTGGTGCGGGAGAACTCTCAGAAGCACATGGGAGGATGGGGAGAGAGAGAGAGAGAGAAAACAGGAGGGAGACGGTGGAAGCTAGAGAAAGAAAATGAGGGTTAGAAAGGGGAGCGGCACAGTTGGGATTTTGTTTAAAAAGGGAAAGAAAATGGAGAGCAGTATAAAGAGACAGGTGAAGAAAGGCAGTGGAAGATGGAGAGAGGGAGCTATACGGACGAACAGCGAGAGGTGGCGGCGTCTGTCTCCTTTTGTGTTCCACATGGATTCGTCTCCTTTCTGTCGGCCTTTCATTCACACTCCCTCGCTCGCTCACTCCATCATTGTCACACTCGCGCTCTCTCTCTCTCGTTCTTTTCACCCCGTTCTTCCTCCCTCCCTCGCCTTTTCACCCTCGCTCCATTCGTCCTGCGTCCCTCCTCTCGAACCCATTACTCCTCTCCCTCCCCTCTCAGCTCCTTTCAACTCCTCTTACTTTCAGCTTTCTCTCCTCCCTCCTCTGCCCCGCGCTTTATGTATTGTCACCCTCCTCCTTCCTGTCCTCACGATCATCAATCAAGGCCTCAACTCAGCTTTATTTAAAGGCAGGGCTGAACAATTTGAGGGAAATTTGGAATGTGGATTTGTCAGAACAGTAATACAGTAATGAGATTATTCTATATGAATGAATCCACTGGTTTATTGTTAAATGAGCATAAGCAGGTTCATTTAGTATTGGCTAACTCACAGAATCACTACAAACAGGCCTCAGCTGTGCTCTTTGTATCGATAGGCAGCGATATACTTTTGTGTTTTGCAGCGTATGGGATTTGAAAATGAAAATCCTTATTTCGATGTAAAGGAGATTAATCATTCATCTTTATTAACGGCATTATCCATCTTACAATGCTTCATATCCATTAATAAATGTCTTATTGTTACATTTGAATGACATCACATATCAGCTCTACCGATCACTTATATATTTGAGTCGTAATTTATTTCCTGTTTTCTCATTCCGACCGTTTGCAGTTGAAGAGGATTATGTCGTTGTTAGTCACTTTTTAATTGGCCTTAAATTCAATTCCAGGCAGATTGAATTGGACTCGAGTTTCCGAAATAATTAAATTCATGTTGTCTAATGTGTAAATTATTGCTCGGTAAGTTGTTTCTTCCTGCTTTTGTATTTAGTTAAATCTGGTATGTACAGTATATTCCAGGTAGCATTCATTTTGTCTTCCTGGAGCATGCACCCTGACAGCTCTCTTCATGCTCGCTTCTCCTTTTATCTTCCTCCTTCCTTCCTTCTGTTCCCTCCCTCTCCTTCTTTCTCCATACATCCTCGTTTTGCCCTTCTCCTCCTCTTCTGTCCTCCCCCCCCCACACACGCATTGCCTCTCCCTCCATCCCTTTTCCTCCCCTCCTCCCGTTCAACCCAGAGCAATTCCATCTCTCTCCCGGCAAACAAAGGGAGCTAATGACATGCTGACACCGAGCCCGATGATTGAATTCATTAGGCGTGCACAATAATTGCCAGGCGCGAGCGTGCGCGCACCCATCTATTCAGAGGACAGCTGTCAAATAACAAGCGGGAGAGAATAGCTTTTTATTGTTGAGCTGGAAGAGAGAGGGAAAATGAATATAGAGAAGGAGCGGGAGAAGCACCTGTTGTGGAGGGGAAGAGAGAGAGAGGGAGGGAGGGAGGGAGAGCGAGAGCACTCAGCATGTCAATTAGGCTGCTGTGTTCATGCAGGGTTACTGGCAAGTTTACTGCCTGTGTGACGCACTTGGTTTCACCATCCAGGTGCACGGCATGTCGAATCTGCTGTTCGGTAGCTTCTGTCTGAATCCCTCCTCAAACTTTCGAGAGGGAATTGTGTTCAGTCTGTTAAAGAAAAAGATCAGACTGAAGTAAGTGTCGGACTTGGCCTAGCTTCCAAACTTTGACGTTTGCCAACTTGGATGAAAATGACAGTAAATCTAATGTAATAAAACGGTTATATTCATTTTGAATCCGATTATGTGTTTTATTGCAGCATTGAATACAGAGATGAATAGATTATGCTAATCGTTTTCAAATTATGTTCATTTTAAAGTCCAGATATGAGTAACGTTAACCGCAGTGTGCACTCAATAATATCATGTAAGCAGCCCAAAAAAAAAAAAAATAGGCCGACAGATGCAGGCGTAAAGATATGGAATGAAGCGAGAAGTTTGTATTTTTGGCAAAAATGAAACACTTCCATGCGCAGGACGTGGTGTACCTGCAGCTGCCTCACAGTGAACGCTCTCCACCTGCAGTCGCTTCTCTTCAGGCCTCGCTTTAACTGGAACACAGCGCTGTGTCGTTAGCGGCTGAGGCTCAGGAGATGCAGCGGCTTGCCCACTGATTGCCTGGTTGGCGGTTTGATCCCCTGCTCCTCCCGTCCATATGTCTGAAAAAATAAATTGCTCCAGCACCTTGCATGGTAGCTTCCTGCTATTGGTGTGTGTGTGTGTGTGTGTGTGTGTGTGTGTGTGTGTGTGTGTGTGTGTGTGTGTGTGTGTGTGTGTGTGAGAGAGTGAGATTGGGTCAATGAGAGGCAACATTATAAATGTTTTTGGATAAAAGAGGCATATAAAAGCCGCCCATTTACCATCATCGTAACGCATAACATATTGGAGGCGGGGCTTCAGTGGAGCTGTTAATAGTTTTGATGGAAACCAGCTTCAGGCTAAGAACCAGACACAAACAACACCGACTGTCTGTTTCATGTGTAGATTAAGAGCTTCCCATATTACTTTTCACCTTTACATTCCCAATGTTCATCATTCCCGATTCTGATCAAATCCTCCCTCTAATGTCATCTGATACTTTCCTCAAAGTTTAAATGCTTCGGTACTGATGAACCGCAGCATTGTGCCGGCCTGATTACAGAAGATAAGTCCATGCCTGCTTCTACTAAGTACCTGATTCAACACTTAGGAGCACTGGTCTGTTTAACACTAATATATCTGATGGAGCTAATGAGCTCGCACTCTGAGTTACCTCTCTGCTATCTGCCCGGCTGCAATTTATATGCAAGGGGCTTTTCATTAACCTCAAGTGGCCGAATGAACGTGTTTGTATCTTTGGCCCGTTGGCTATAACCCACAGGAACACGGGGAAAGCAGGGCGAGGCTGAAGGGGCTTTTGTGTTCTTGCTTTAGGCTCAATGAAATGCATGCATGTATAATTAGATATGCACTGTGGTACTGTTGCTACTGGTTCTGTTATTATTTATGTTATTCTAGATACAGTCTAGAATCTGAATCTCTGTGTGTGCCCCCCCCCCCCCCTTCCTACAGAAGACAGAGGAGGACGAGCTGGTCCTGACTCCGGACGGGACCCGGGAGTTCCTGACCTTTGAGATCCCCCTCAGTGACTCGGGCTCAGCTGGGCTGGGTGTCAGCGTCAAAGGCAACCGCTCCAAGGAGAACCATGCTGACCTGGGCATCTTCGTCAAATCCATCATCAATGGAGGGGCGGCCTGCAAGGTGCGATACCGTCTGCTGTGATTAATGGAGGGTTTGAGTGGATTTTAAAGAGTGGCATCGTTTTTCTAAGAAACCTTTTTTTCTGTTAGCTAACTGCTACAGGTAAGATTCTATCAGTGCAGGAACTCATGTTGTCTGCTGCGACGGGCCCCGATGAACACTATTATGTCGGGCCCTCGTTACTTACTGACGCTTTTATGTAGCAGATGTGCTCAGCTGGTCAATCTCTGCAGATATTGCGCCTTAACATGCTCATGTATATCGTCTCGTACTGGATAAAACAGCAGTCATCATTGATTATTTCTATTTACCGAAGAAAATTAGACATTGTTAATTTAACTGAATAGTTTTTATGGTGTATTTATGTTTTTTTAAATACATGCTTTATGTAGAATATCATCTTCCCCAAAAGAGAAGAAAAAAAACAGAAAGCCATGATGGAGATGGGTTTGCCTTTTCAAGGTTATATATAGCAAATGGCACCATAATTATATTAATATGTGATGTTCGCTGATCTCAGGTGTGTTCATGAAATGTTCATCTGAATTACATGAACGGGATTATTTTCCTTTTATCACATTGGTAAAGTGCCCCCTCTACTCGCCTCCCCCCCACCCAGCTGGGCCCCAGTGCTACAGCACCGTGTCTGTATTTATGCCCCTGCAGATCAACACCCACCAAAGGATTAGTGTGCATGAGACAGCATGCAGTATGCAGATACTTAAGAGAATCAAATCTTAAATGCAATGTTACCAGATAGCAGAGACCTGCTAAAGACATACGGTCTTAATATCAACCTAAACATATATTCTTTCTGTATTTATTTTGCGGACACAATTAGTGGATTTATTCAGCAGCAGAAATAGAAGTTTTGATAGAAGACATAAAGCTGTTGAACCAGATGTACCGCCTTTATAGTGAGCTGCTCTCACCTGTTCTAGATAAACCCAACATCCTGTCTCACACACACACACATGTTTCAAAAGGTGATAGATGGCATTAAATATAACTTCCTGTTATCTGTGGACACTCTGTCTGAAAGTGACAGAATGAAAGCGAGCTGTCCAGCAGCACACTGGGCTGATGTTTAGAAGCCCTCCATGTGCCCTTGACAGGGGAAGTGACTTTGTCCTCGACTATCTGTGTTCACATTCACACAAAGTGCCTTGTTCTCTGTTGCTGTCTGTCTTTCCACTTGATTGTTATTCATACTAACAAGCTTGTGTTGACAGACAATAATAATAAACTTAAAAAGCACACTTCTCTGTAAGAGATTAGATCGTGACGAGGAGCAGATACACTCTGTGAGCGAGGCTGTCTTGATTAGATTACGGTTATTGTTAAATGGGAGATGCAGCTGCTTTTTATTCCTCACACGTGTGCAGCCTCCCCTCTCTGTGCTGTGACGAGTGTGACCTCTTCCCACGCCACGTCTACCTCTGCACTGGCTTTCAGAGGCTGTAGGCTCAGTTTGGTACCGTGTCATGCCAGCTTGTCGGGAAGGTAGCCGCAACGTTTGAGACATAATAGAGCATGGTGACCGTCATAAGCTTGCATCATAATGTTCTGAGCTCTTCTACACTTTTAAACCAACATTAAGTCAACATTTGAAGAAGCGCATTAACAAAACACAATGTTTATTACAAATGAATGACGAGAAAAAGTTGACACAGAGTGCATCTCAAAGACATCCTCAGTTCCTAGCTTTCAGACGATGTAACCACTTCTATGTGACGTAGACAGCTGACATGCTTTAACCCCTAAAGATCCCCTGTTCCACCTAAAACAAGTGTGATTCCTTGGCCACCAACAGGACGGGCGGTTGCGAGTGAACGACCAGTTGATTGCTGTCAATGGAGAGTCGCTATTGGCCAAAACCAACCAGGACGCCATGGAGACGCTACGCAAGTCCATGTCGACGGAAGGCAACAAACGAGGGACGATCCAGCTGATTGTGGCCCGACGAGTGTCTAAAAGAAACGAGGTAAGGGACGAAATAACGTGGCTGTGCTTCTCTGCCGTCCAGCTGTTTTCAGTAGAAAATTTGTAAAAACTTAAGCAGGAATTAAAATTCTAGATGTCCAATCCAGCTATATGAGTCGGTAGTGTCTCCATATCTTGAATCGGGTATCGGAGCATCCCTACCAATAAGTAAAACATCAACTATGCTTTTTAAAATATAAACCCACGTCAAGTGGAATCGTATATTTTGATTGAGGTCAGTATGGAAATATCGCAGCACACGTAAACGTACTGATTCATCCTTTTATTTACTCTGACTGAGCACAAAGGACCTGTTTACAGCAGCGGCCTGCTTCACACTCCAGTTTCACACATTCACACCTCAGAGTGCAGCTGCGGTGCTCTAGAGTTGAAGTCCAGTGGAAAGAAACTGGGGTGGTAAGCACCCTGCACAAGGACATGTCAACATTTGCTGTTGAGTAAATGGGGGGGGGGGGGTCCGTTCACTGCTCAGAGGTTTCTTTCCCAGCTGATCTGGGATTTGAACAAGTTACAGATTACAGTTTGGTCAGGACTTTATTTTTAGCGCGTAAAGCTTGAGATGAATGATGTATTTTGTGGCCGTTGTATTGTGCGTAGTGTATTTTAGTTTAGTCATTCCTGGAGTAGAGCTCCTCTGACACTGCTGTCCTAAACAAAGACACTTCTGTGGACGTGGAGTCGGAGGTCGCCGCTTCAATACGACCCTTTCTGTGATAAATGTACGACACAACCCAAAAGCGAACCCACTGGGAAATACCCTCATGAGCAGCAATGACACGTTTCATGAAATAAAAGTAAGTAGTCAGGTCATGGTAGTTCACCAAAACCTCCCCCGCACGCTCTCCTCCCTGGAGGAAGAAAAAAAACATGGCTGCCAACTGAGCTACACAACTTCTTCTTCTTTTTCTTTTTTCTCCTCCCCTTCAATGTCATGTTTTTACATTCTCTGTACACCTTGGCCTGTCGCCTGCTTGAAAGCCGAGGCTGTGCGTGTGTGTATGAGCGTGCACGTCTGTGTGCGTGCGTACGCCTCTAGCTCTGCCTGGCTTCCCCGCTCTCCTTTTTCCAACCTGGTGTGTCAAAGTTTTGATTTCCCCTCGGCCCGTCTGGTAATTGAAAGCAGAGGCTAAGCCTGGAGGTGTGTTTCGTGCACTCGTCTTTGTGTCTGCACGCACGCGCGTGTAGACGAGTGTGTAGCTGGCACTTTTTGTACATCCCTCTTATGCATGTATGCATTTGTTTTCAAGGATCTTTTTCCGTGTGTTCGTCTGCAAACGGATACCCGGTGTGTCTGGGCGCATTGCGGCCATGTCAAGGCAGTGAGACTTAACAGACAGCGCGGCGGATGAATAAAATCTGAGCGCGGGGAGTCTCGTCAATCTCTGCTTCACATGCAGAGCCGGAGGCATGGCCGGGGGCTGTCCACGTGTCAGGCTATTTATAAGAAGAAAGTGTCCAAGACACTCAGAGGGGAGGGAAACAACATCGTAATACTGCTCAGAGCTGGTTTACAAAGTCACATATAGATTCTTAATTCCTCATAACCAGCTGTCCATCAAATATTTGTCCAAATTAAACAATACTTAATTACCATGGGATGAAAGCTGTCTTATTTTGACATATGTTCACACCCACTGACATATGGCACCAAATAATCCTGTATTTACTTTGCCCTCCGTGTCTCCATCCCCTTGACAGCCGATCCTCAAATCAATCTCAAAATGCTTGCCGATGCATAAATCACGAGCCCTGCTGCTTCCATTCCTTCCTCCATCCCCGTAGAAACAAACGCGTCAACACTGCCTCATCACCTGTTTGGCGCCCGGCGGGGATGGAGACCTTCCCGGAGCTCAATTATCAGCCTGAATATGCAGCGAGCGTGATTTGTCGATGCGACCTCGGTATGGCGAATCCTCTCGGCTATATGCATTTCCTCTCGGGGGGCAATTCATTAACTATCTCATTGAAAGTCAAGAGCAAGCACATGCCAACAGTCACGCCACCATATGGCGACCTTATAAATGACTTGGTTTCCGTGTAAGATTTGTTGCATCCGTGTGTAGCTCCGCTCGGCTCCGTTAGGTGTGATTCAAACCTGTACGATGACATAAATACTTCAGATAACACTGGATGTCTTGATGTTGCTCTGATGTGTGCTAGAAGCGGTAGCAGTTAGAATGCTTGCTCAAGGACAGGTAACTAAATATATTTATTTGGATCTGCTCTTTTGAAATTTGAGGTACTTGTACCTTACAGTAGTATTTCCATTTTACCCTCCCTTATACTTCTACTCCACTACATGTCAGCCGGTGATCTTGTACTTTATACTCTGATACATGTACTTGAAAGCTCTAGTTACTTTACTGTGTCAGAGTTTACATCCAGATCTTATAATTGTCCTCGGTGAGTCCATATTGTCTCAGCTCAACCTGTCCCCTAAAACATGAAGACATATGCTTTCCTTATATGATAGTTTATTTGCTGTGTCAGAGAACTGTCAGCACCTTCAGATATGTAGCTGTGGTGGTGAAATACATATTTATTTGAATATAAATGTTAAAAACAGCAAAAAACTACAAGTAAACTTACTTACAATTAATGCTAGTGCTAATCTAAATCATGATTTGTTGTTATAGATTGATACACCGAACAGGTTAAAGTCAGCCGACTACAACATTTAAAAGCAGCACCGTCACCATTTTAATATGTTTTAATAACAATGCTTGAATGCTTTTGATACACCGTGGCATTAAAACGTGTCCCAAAGCTCTGGGTACAACATAGATACTGAGGGAACCGCATGTGTGGTTGTTCATGAAACAAGTCTGAAATCCTGTTCATTACACCTCACACTCCTCTGCCTCCTAATGCACCCTCGTGAGTTTTCTCCTGTAAGCTGGACCCGTTGTTGGTTGTTCCAGCACCTCGACAGTTTGGTGAGCTGAAAGGATCATTGGGCAAAGAACCTTCTGCCAAAGTCGATGTCATTCTAGTCATTGATGCGGCTGATTTGGCTCCAGCATCGACTCCAGCGTGGTTGTTATCGCTCGTTATGCGACGTCGGCGATGATGGTTATCTTTATGGCCAGAGCCGTCATCGCCTTCAGTAATAAATGCAGAGAGACCGAAGCAGATCAGTACAGTCAACTTTCCAATGGACAACCGAAAACACACACACACACACACACACACACACACACACACACGCCTTCTCCGGCAGTGGCTGTGCGTTTACGGGCGACGGGGCCAGCCAATGGTCTATTTGTCCAGCAAACAAGAGAGTGTCATCATGGGTCCCGAGGGAAATGTCAAGATGCTAGCAAGCTAACAACCCCCACCCCCACCCCCGCAGGGGGGACGCTAGCTCGCTAACAGCCCGTGGCTTTACAGCCTATTGGAAATCCATGCTCATTCATCATGGTTATCACACTGCTAGCGTTAGCGTGGCTAGCTGCCCTTGTGTCCATTCGGTACCCTTTAGCACACGGCTAACATGTCTGTGTATAGGTCATGGAGGCTTTTCCCAGTTTGGACTTTGGCTGTGGCTGTAACAGGAGGTGTAGCACACACATTAACACAATACCGGTCACAACACATCTAACTGCTCACTGCATCCACAAGACTCCACACGGAGCCCAGAGCGGCATATAGAATCTGTTTTTAATGAGCATATTCAGAAGGAATAAACCATACAGTGCTCAGCCAAAGAAGGAATCAACCATTTCATGTTCTGGTTAATAAAAGAGCAATAGAAATAAAACCTGAATTACTCTAAATATCACCTCCCTCCTCGTTCAGGAGACACCGGGGAGTCCGCTGGGGGGCAGTCAGCAGACCATGAACTCGTCCCTGGACGACCACGAGCGCCGGATCTCCCACTCCTTGTACGGTGGCCTGGAAGGCCTCGACGACAACCTGATGCCACGACAAGGCATGATGCCGCGCACGATAGGTAAGACTGGCCCAACTTATTCCCTCCTCCAATACCCGATCCTGGTTTGAGGTTCACGTGCACTCGCAGGTCGATCTCGGTCTGATGCCGTGCTATGTTCCTGTGCTCAGACTGGTACTGGTGCTCAGTATTACATAGTGAATATCTGTAAAGAATCGAATCAATGAAACAGATCCCCCTTCTGTTAGTGTGTGTCTTCCTGCTAGATCCCATGGTCTTAACCTGTCAGGTTGTGTCAGCACAGAACATATGCTAACTCTGTCATCTGGGCTCACTTCCTGTCAAGACTCAGTGGCTTTTAATGTCTCGGAAAATGTCAGGGAGGGAGAGAGAGACGGAAAAATGGCCCCTGGACAATTTGTTGCTGCAGATGCTCACCAGTGATTGATTCTGTTTTGATGGCTGTTTGTTATTAGAACGTGTCTGTGTGTTAGTTTGCATGCGTTTCAGTCTGTCCGTCTGTTAACCTGTGTGTGTGTGTGTGTGTGTGTGTGTGTGTGTGTGTGTGTGTGTGTGTGTGAGAGTGAGAGTTTGACTCAGTGAAAGAGATTAGCAAGCATTTTTGTATCCGTGTGTGTGTGAGAGCTTCTCACGCATGCATACAGGTTTGCGTGTGTGTTGCGTTTGAATGATTGATGGACGGGTGGTGAAGATGTCAAAGAAGGGCTTCTGTGCACCAGCTGCTGTAACTGCTCAGCTGTGTTAAATATCACCTTGTGTCCTCTGCAGTTCTGTCTTTGTGTTTCTTAAGAGACACAAACCACTTTGTCTGCTAATTTATTGCAAGCAGGTCGAGAAAAGGTAAACTAAAAACCTTAAATGTTTATTAATGAAGCGGAGGAGTCAACTTTTTCTTTTTTTAATTAGCTCCTACCAACTCCTCCAACCTCATTAATCAATGCAACATAACACTAAAGTATGAACTCTGTTTCCCTTTCATGCAAATTGGTTGACATTGACACCGTTTTGTTTGTTCAAACGCACACAAGAGAAAGGTGTGAGTTCTGACTGACAGAGGGAGTGTTAATAAGTGAAGTTCCAGCGCGGCTGTGTTCATCCATGCTTAACAGACACAGTGGGCTCATAATGAGCGTGGGGGGGGGGGGGGGTTCACTGCACAACGGTGGCAAACAAGATCAGCGACCAGAGGAGCTGACGACTGTGTGTGCGGGCCCGGTGCTTCTAGAACTCTGTGCTGTAGGAGTCAGGAAATACGACTAATGATGCATTTTTATTGTCGATTAACTTGTTGATTATTATTTTTTATTTGTTTGGTCTATAAAATTTCAGAAAATGGTGAAAAATTACGATCAGTGTTGTTTGTGTTTGTGCACAAGTCAAAGATATTCAGATTAGAGTAGTAACAAGAAAAGACCAGAAAATATTTCAATTGAAGAATCTGAGAATTTTGACCTTTTTTCTTAAATAATCACTCAAATCAATTAAATCACTTATCTAAATGTCTTAAATCCTAATGTAGTGGTTGACAACTAACTGGTTAATTGTTGCAGCTCTAGAACACTTCAGATAACTTAGTAGAAACTCAACACGGCGCTACCAGCTGGACATATCCAGACAAACACAGTTACCGGGACAAAATGACAAGGAAGCAAAGAAAAATCTGATTAAATGACAGATTAAATGCAAAGTTGTTATTGGTGTTTGTCTCTCTGCCCTCAATCTCCCCCTGAATACAGTTTAATGGGACTCAGTATACGATCATCAAACCGGCACGAGAACGGGAGGATTATACAGAACAGCGAGGTCCTCACCTTGACTCACCGCAGCATGGTGTAGTCCCGATGTTTAGGGACACGCAAGCCTCACGCCCCGGGATTAAAACTCAAGCGGGCACATATCGGATACCGTCACCTGCTGCTTTTTCATCCTCGCGTCACGTGTGTTGGTTGACCTCGCTACAAATTGGCAGAGCTCAGCGGGTAAATTCCGATGTCAGGGTGGCGAAAGCAGAGCGGCCTGTTTCCTCTGATAGTTCACCTCAACAAGATGGGACGCCAGATGCAAGAAACCCTCCGAGGCCCTCTGGCCGTGCACCGTATGATTACTAACTATCCCGGACACGGGAGACATTTCCCTGCTTATTAAACACTTAATCAGCCCAGTGGAGTCGGGTTTTTCCCCCACCACCGTAGGAAAAATATCAACCCCATTTTCTCATGCTAAATATTGTGGATCGTCTTCCTCCTTCCTTGTGGTCTCTGGATCAGTTTAAATCAAGTTGGTGATAAAAGTTGGAGCCGTTGGTCCAATTTGTTTCCATGCGCTCGACCTCAGGACATCAAAGCAGCCCAGCCTTGTGAGGACGTCACTCTGTGGTTTTGCGTCAAAGTGTGACTGGAGAGGTAGGGGGAGGGTTAAAGCTGTGGAAGCGTTGTTTAATTTGCCACTGTGGGCAAAGAACAGAGGATCAAGGCCAGCAGGGGTCAGGGCTTAAGCCGGCCTCCCCCCCACTCAGTCACATCCTTACAGGTGATTTCATAATTTGAATCACGGATTCATTCTTTTCCACGATATATTCAAATCTAACATTGCCGTGTTTTAAGTGCTCCAATGCGTGAGGAATGTATTGCTTATTGGTTTGCATGTTTTACCTTTAATTTATCACTGTAAATTCGATACATAACAACTTTCCATTTGTTCTAGAATTAAAGGTTTGTTTCACACAAGTGCCCCCTATGAAAAAGAAGACAAGACAATATAAATATATATATTTTTATTGGAACTATTTCTTCAGTGATAAGTAGTTCTAAAGAAATCTATTGACGGCATGTTCGTGTGGATTATCCAGAGATGTTGCTGCTGTTTTCTATTTAAATTAACTCTTTATTTCAGAGACAGATATCTCAGAATAAGGACATTTTCAACCCAAAACTCGTTGCATGTCTAGATGCCCCTAAAATTAGCAGAGGCTCTTTTGTGTGTAGTTTGGGTGAACCAAGCCTTTAAAATAAAGTTTGACCACTGCATAATGATTAATAATGATAACGACAGAGCCGCTCCGGCCCTCTTTATACCTGTGTGGTCCTGAAATGACTGCAGCAGAATGCTCAGGCTGATTTACTGTTCCCACTGTGGTGCTTTTCTGTGCGTGAACAAACGTGGCGATTCACAAACAGACACGGCTTGTGTGTCGTGACAGGTTAAAAAATACGGTGGACAGCAGACGCCCTCAGCTGCTGCTGCTCCGGAACCGGTGGTAGAAGTCTGCAGATGTGCTTGGCAGCTCCCAGATGTGAACACGTGTGAATACGAAGCAGAGCTTCGCGTGCTCAGCAAACCTCTCTTGAATAAATAAAAATGTGAGTGAGTGCTGTGGGGTCTTTCGCGGTTGCTTTGAATAAGTCTGTTCTCCCATGGTAAGGGTGCCACCAAACATGAATCATGCATTAGGCTTTCTCAGAAGACGACATCATTCCCATTCAAAAAGTATCAGCTTGCGTTTTGGTCCCATGCGCCGGGCTCTTGGATCGCTCCCCGGCTCTCTGCGCTCTGGATATTTTCCGGGGATAAGAGAGCGACTTAATTATTCCTTCAGGCCAATAGCTTTTCGAGGCCCAGCACCCAATGGCAATAACCTCCTTACTAATTATACAAAATGAAAAAAAAACATGTTATTCTCACCTCTTGTTGTCTCCATTTTCATCTAGAACATCTTTTCATCCCGTCTCCCCTCCTGGCCATTTCGTGTTCCTCCTTTGCCCTCAAGCGCTCCGTAGTTTTGCACAAAAAGAATCTGATAATAGTTTCACCTGGAGAAGCTCAAATGAAATGCCACCTATTGTCACAAATGATTGCAGCCACTGGAAAAGAAAAGATGTGTGTTTTTCGGTTTGATTCTAAGGTTGTGTGTGTGTGTGTGTGTGTGTGTGTGTGTGTGCGCGCGTGTGAGCGTGCACTCTCCGTCCACATGGCAGTGCTTTTGTGGCTGGCGGATGGCTGCCCTTGGGTGCTGGCACTAAAACAAAGAAGCTTTTTTCCTCCCCGTCCTTTTACTAGACTAGAGAGTTGACAGATTCATTGGCTTTCTACTCAGTGGCTGCCAGTTGATTGTACTGCAGTGATTCACACTGTGACATTGATGGGATTCTCAGTGTCGCGCATTGGACTGCTTAGGGAAATGGGATTGTGTGTGTGTGTGTGTGTGTGTGTGTGTGTGTGTGTGTGTGTGTG